AATCTTTCTGTACTGAACAAAGTATAGAGCCCCATTTGTTGACCCATCAGGTCCACTTCAACCACTTCAGCTCTGACTGGAAGATTACTGGATACCTAGCAGAGTTCAATAAGGCAGTGTGCATTGTAATATTGGGGGAAAAATCCATCTTGATCATAAAAATCTTCATTCCTGAGCAATATCCTTATTTCTAAGAAAAGGGGAATTACTGCATTGCATTTTTGAAAAAAAAAAAGATAAAATCTCCCATCTAAAGAACATAGCTATACTTACGTTTTTGGGCTATACTTAATTTTTGCTTTATTGAGGCAAAAAGTGAGAAGCATGGTGGCTCTCGTGGTTAGGACGCTGGATTGCAGGTTAGCAAGCCTGCATTCGAAACCCTAGTGCTGTACTGGGGCAGGGTGAGCTCTCGTCCTTTGCTCCAGCTCCTGCCGGGGGCATGAAAAGAGCCCCAACTGGACATTGCCCAGACAACTGTGATGTCACTAGCTAATCCTTTGAACCCAGTGGAAAAGGCAAAAAGTAGAAACTGGGAACTTACTTTTGATAAAATAAGATTACAAAGATTATGGGAAACAGTTTGTGCATATCATATTGTGCATTGTCATATTGAAAAAAAGAAAGGAAAATATATATTCCCCGATTTCTTTCAGAAATAAGATGGAGGATGCTGATACATTATTGGAACACCTCAGTGAAATAAAAAAGTTTCAGTATATCATTATTTAGTATATTTATTGTTATCCATTGTTTCTTTTTCTTTTTTTTTTGCATTTTTCTCTCTTTAAAGTGATGATGAAAAACTAGAACAAGAGATTGATTTGATAGACTTATTTATTAAAAAAATAGATGGAAAATTATCAAATACTGGTAGAAAGATAGTACATAGCATGTACAGGCTTTGGGGGAGTGGCAAATGATGTCACAAAGCATGATATGACACAAGTATAAAAGATGCAAAACGTATGCTGTAATAATTTAACATACATTCAATCATTTTGACATTTGATTAGGAAAACATGCCAATAATTACATGAGAAGATGTAATGTATATTAAAAGAAGTGAAAATGTCTTTTGTTACAAACATGATTCTGCCCACTTTGTTATATGGAAGTGAAAGTTGTGTATGATAGGATAAACAAAAGAGTAACCTGAACACAGTGGAATGGAGTGTATGTAGTAAAATAAAGAAATTAAGAAGTGTATTAAGATGAAGAATGTTTGATGCATTAATGTGGATTTAATTTAGATGTGAGGTCAAAGGTCACACAGAATGAATGAAGACCAAATTACAAAAAATGTACAAAGAAATAATTCATAAAGAAAGAGGAAAGAATGGCAATCTAGAAGGAAGTCAGACTGAGCATGGAAAGAAAGAAAAGTAAGGAAAAGAAATGTGCAAAATAGCTGTATGGGCAAGATGAAAGCAAACAGAGGCCTCCTAATACACTATTAATAAATCAGAATGAGAATCAGAATCAGATTCGAACTGAAAGGGACCTTCCAGGTCTTCTAGTCCAATCCCCTGCTGAAGCAGGAGACTCTATACCATTTCAGACAAGTGACTGTCCAGTCTCTTCTTAAAAAACTCCAGTGATGAAACACCCACAACTTCTGACGGCAAGCTGTTCCACTGGTTGTTCTCACTGTTAGGAAGTTTCTCCTTAATTCTCTCCATAATTAGTTTACAACCATTGTTTCTTGTCCTGCCCTCTGGTGCTTTGGGAAAAAAGTTGACTCCCTCCTCTTTGTGGCAATCTCTCAAATATTGGAATACTGCTATCATGTCCCCTCTAATTCTTCTTTTCTCTAGACTAGCCAAACCAAATCCTGCAACCGTTTTTCATATGTTTTTGTCTCTGGGTCTTTAATCATCTTAGTTGCTCTTCTGTGCATTTTTTCCAAAGTCTCAATATTTTTTTTTTTTGTAATGTGATGACCAAAACTAGATGCAGGTGAAGTTTTACTAAGGTTTTATAAAGCGATACTAATACTTCACGTGATTTTGCTTCTATGCCTGTTTATACAACCAAGGATTGTATTAGATTTTTGGTTACTGCTGCACACTGCTAGCTCCTATTTAAATGATTGTCCATTAGGATTCCACGGTCCCTCTCACAGTTACTCTTTTTGAGCCAGGTTTCGCCTAATCTGGTTCTTCCTGCCTATGTGTAAACCTTGCTTTTCTCCACATTAAAACTCATTTTGTTGAATAGGGCCCATTGTTCAAGTCTGTCAAGATCTTTTTGGATCTTGAGCTACAATTTGTGATCTAGTAGATATGTAGACGTCACAACTACCAGCATGAATACCCAGATTGAAGTTCTGAAAATTGCACCTCAATACATCTGGGAAATGCCAAGCTGGATGATGCAGTCTATTAGTCTCAAGTACTGAATTCCACCTGTTTGTTACAGGACTACTAACTTTGTCTTCTTATTAAAGCTAAGCTTTATGCTGGAATATGTTTCTTTGCTGAGAACACATCTATAAATAATTCACTGCCCTGACTGTAAACAAAAGTAATACAAAGACATTGCGGTGAAGAAAAACAATTTTCACAGTTCTGGTTTGAGGATGATCTATGAGTATTTCACTATTCCGGCAGCAACTTGGAAAAACGTGAAGTCTTCTGGAAAATAGAAACTATCTCCTTAGGTGCTGAATTGACAGGAAAGCACTCACACGACTATAATCACAGGGTTATGTGGGGGAAAAAATCCTTGGAGCCGAGAATTATTAGATTTTCAGGATCAAATTTACGGAAAAACTCTAGAATGGGAGAAATACGTTGTTGTTTTGAAAAAGTTGCTACTTTTAAAAAAGTCACTCGGAGAACTTGCGCTGCTCAATTCTGCCCTCCTTCTGTCTCTTCCAATCCGTCCCACTCCTGGTCCCCCCAATCCCCTGGATGTGCGTGCTCGCGCGTGCCTCTTCCTCCCCGCGCAGCACATTCTTGCAGGACTTCCAGTCTTTCCTTCGAGTAGCGGGGTGGCACGGAGAGGGTTAACGCTCAGGAATGCACCCGCCAGGAATGTGCATGCAGATGAGATGGATGCTAATCTCATGTTAATGAGTGGCTGCCGCCGCCGCCGCCGCCGCTCGGGACTGAGCCGGTTCTCCCCCTCCCCCCGGAACATAAGCAGCGCCTCGTCTTAGCCTGGACCCCCTGACCCCCTGCTGCCAACACGGAATAAGGCCCGAAGGCGGAGGCTCCGTCCAGACATGGTGGACTGAAACTCAGGAGAGTTTCCTGGCCCATTGCACGATTCTGCCTCCCTCCACCCACCCAGAGCTCCAGGGGAAGGAGGGGGCGTCTTTTCCCGCTTCCCTCCTTTCTTTCTTGTTTGCTGTCCCTATGGAGCAGCTATACCCTGACTTCGACCATGCCTAGAAAAATGGGGAATGGGCAATTGCCCTTACCCGACGGCTGGGAGGAGGCGAGGGATTACGATGGGAAAGTCTTCTACATCGACCACAACACCAAACAGACCAGCTGGATCGACCCTAGAGACAGGTGGGTGTAGATCGCCTCTCCAAATCCCAATGCGCGAAGAGGAGGGGGTTAAACCCGGGGGGGGAGGGGAAATTGGCGTCAGGCGCATTTGTCCTCACTTTAGGAGGAGTTGTGTTTGTTTTTTTCCCCACCTCTCTAGTCCCCTCCCCAGTGTAAGGGAGAGTCTCACGTAGTTACATAATAAAGATAGTGATAACAACAACAACAACCTGCAAGGGAGAAAAGGGAAGTGTTCCCTTCCGCCCCAATATTATCTTGGAAAGAGAGGAGGGTGGTAGCGTGCAAGTTTGTGTATTTCTGGCATGCGTTGTCTGGCAAGGGTGTGTATTGGAGACAGAGAGGGAAAGTGACTCTGTAGGCTGCAAAGTGAAGAGAGTCATAAGAAAAGGCAAGAACTCCGGTTAACATGCTCTTTCTTGTGACTGGAACAAAACACGGATCAATTCGCCAACCCAGATTTTATGTAATGGCTATGTGTTGAAATGTTTCCCAGCAGACTATGATTTACCTATAGAACGGAAACTGAGGTTCTCTTTCTTTTTATAAAACTCCTAAGTGAAGTTACAGGATTTTTAAAAACAGGTTCTGATTATTATTTTTAAAAAAGGAATATTTAATTTTCACAGAAGCCACTTGCAATGTCTCTGTGACTATTAAAAGAATTGGGTCAAGTTAGAGGATTTTTAAACATAGTTTTCTCTTTACAAACTAAAGCATAAAAAAAAAGATGCTGGATCTTCAGAGATATTGGGATTCTGAGTTTTGAAAGTTTGGTTAGAATATAAACCATCTTCCTGATGAAAAGGTAGAATATATTTAACAAATCTTCTAGATACATAATTAAAAGGCTGAAATTAGTTAGGCCATTTGCTCATCTATTTTTGGAACTGGAGCTTGGAACTGTAATGGGTTTTAATGTTTTTATGTTTCTGAAAACCTGTCTTACTCCAGACAAAAGCATGTTGCCTTGTTCTGAGCCTCAGATTTGTACCATCTCATCCTTTTCAAAGGTGAAGCCCTTGTAATGAAATTGAGAGAAACTTAATCAGGCCTGGCACTTGAGTTTTTAAAAGTAGGCCTCAACTGAATCCTTTTATCTCTCCTGTTCTCCTCAGATTATAAGAAGAGAGATTTATTAAAATAAGGACGTTTAAACATTTCTTTAAATATAGAGGGAAAAGTCTATCTTAATTTTACAATAGAATGCCTCATTTAATTTTTTTTATGAAAGTAATTTTCTTTTAATTGCCACCATCACAATCAAGTGATACTGAAATCTAAGAAATTAACTAAATTAAGAAAAATATTGCTCTAGTAATATATACTATAATATTCATTAAGATACATAATAATTCTTCACTCACTTTTCAGACTTTAGTGCTGCTTGTCTTTATTAAACTAATAAAATCAAATATCACTTCACTAATAAAAGCCATTAGAAATTTATGACACAAACTATATTGAATAATTAATGAAGGACTTGTTTTAAATTTCCTGATTAAAATAAGAAATGGTAGCTGTAACATTTCTGATAGTATCAGAGTCATGGTGCTTCGAAACTGAAAGTTTTTATATGCCTTGCTGAAGTGTCAGAATGTCTTCCCTGATGAATAGGTTAATAAAATGTATTTATATTTAGAAATGTTGATTGGACAATGTACATTGTCCATTACATTGTTTCTGAAAACTTAGAAGAACTTCTTAAACAAAATAGGGCAATCCTTGACATGATTGGGTATTCAACTATACATGTACCTTGTATTTTAACTTATTCCGCATTTTCAATTGTTTCACTTTAGCTGATCCGATAACTTTTTACAGACTAAGCATTTTTTTTCTGAAAACAAATACAGTACATGGTGTGCATTCAGATTTCTTGATATTCAGACTAAAACTAAATACTGATTTGTTATGTTGGCTGTCCTAAAAATGAGACTACAATTAATCCTACTTTTGGTTTTTCTTTTCACTTAGAACTACAAATAGTTCTATAATCTATAATCATTTTTTTAAATAAAGGAAAAACATATAATTTATATTTTGTGATAATATCAGGCTTGAGATGACTACTATTTAATTAATGTCCTAATTTCAGAAGGCCTGAGACATTTTCAGTCCTTAGCTTGACTGTATTTTCTTTCACAAAAGCTAATGAAGTGAAGTCCTTGTTTAAATAGTGTAGGAGACAGTGTTTGGAGTAACTCTATTAATGCCTGTCAATCTCTTTACTCACTGTTACAAAACAAACAGAAAGAGGTTGTACTTGGTACTTGAGATAATCGATAACTAATGTATAGGTCTTGACTTCAGACAAAATTATGTACAAAAAGAGGGAAAAGTAGTTAATTCATGCCCTTTTATTTGAATTCAATATATACATAGTGTGATTCTCATTATCCTATAATACAGTCTATTTAGCAGGTAAACTTCTATTTTAATTCTATGTGATTAACTTTGAAATTAAACTTATTATAGTTACCATATGGCTTACTCCCAAGAAAATATACACAAATATATACCATCATGCAGGTTTGTTTTGTATGGTTACACAGAAGTAAAGAATCTAATTTCAACCCTTATACATAGGTATATTGGATCATAGTTGGCATACTTTTAGATGTAGTCTTAATTGCACTAGTGTCATTTGGATTATTATAATCCATTCTATCTGACGCTGCTTTGTAAACCACGTGGAAACAACACCATTGCAACAGCTTGGACTATTATGGATGCATTGTAATTTGCTTATACTCTGTTCCTAGAGCTGCACTGGTTACTAGTTTGCTTTGAAATAAATTCAAGGTGCTTATTTTACTTTTAAAATCATGGCTATTGTAGCTTACGACTTACATATCTTTGGAATTGCTTTTTTCCAATTATTTATGCCCATCCAAAATACCAAGTAAAAAAGACTTCCTTAGAATCCCTTCACTCAGATAAAATAATCTTCAGGGACTTGAAGATGGCCATTTCAGGTGCTGCTCCTGTTCTTTGAAACAGCATTCCTCCTAAGAATTGGGGTAGATGTGTTGATTGTGCCTTTGGTTTGAATTATTTATTGGAATTATGAGTTCTCTGTTACTTGTTTGATTTTTGTGTATAATGTAAGGCTTATTGTATACAATAGAGCATCTAAGCCTCTCAAAATTGGTTATATTAGGCACAGAACCTATAATTTGAATGTATACAGTTAGTCCTCAGCTTACAGCCATGAGTTTAATGATGGTTCAAAGTTATGATAGCCTTGAAACACATGACTAATGACCTGTACTTGCACTTCAAACAGTCAAACTAGCCCCATGATCACAGGATTGTAATTGTAGTACTTGGCAACTGACCCACATTTATGACAGATTGCAGCAGGCCCTCATGGCCGTTCTAAACAACTTGATCCAGAAGCCAAGTGCTGCTCTAGACAAGGCAGATTTCTGGATAGATCGCATGATTAACCGAAGAAACCTGGAGTACATCAACCCTGTAGAATCAGATTTGTCAGGCAGATTTGATGGGAGACAGGCATTCCCTCATGTAATCATTGCCTGTGCCACATAGGGCTTTATCTAGAATTGCACCTGGAATCAAAGCACCAACCTGTGCAGCTTGCTTATGCTGGTGCATTCTGGACCAGTTGAAGTTTCTGTGTGATCTTCAGGTGCAGCCCCATGTAGCAGGTGTTGCAGTGGCCAAGCTGGGAGGGAGGGGTTGACTGAGATATGAGTGACTTCTTGAAGGGCTTTTTGATCTAGGAACGTGTACAACTGACACATTAGATGGAGTTGTGCAAAGCCTTCCTGACCACTGCTGAGTCCTGCTTGGCAAGCAGGAGCTGCAAAATCAGGAAGACCTCCGCAACCCCAACTTCAGGGCACTGAGGCAGAACCTTCATAATCTCACTTGGCTGCTTCAGGGTGAAAAATATAATTCTGTATCATCAGCATACTGATGACATCAAAACCCAAACACTTTGTTACATACAGTACTTTGAAGAATAAAGTATACATTTGTACCTATCTCTGTTGCTAGCATTTATCTAAATTCTATACATAATTTGTTATTAAATATAATCACAATTTCTTACTATGTAGTTCCTATTATGCTACCTTTTGACTTTTCTATATACAGTATGGAAGCATCCCATATTGTTTTTTTGGGAAGCCATTTACTATAACTCACAACAAAACAAAACTACTAGTTTTACTCCTCTGCAATATTTTTAGTGAAGAATGAAAGTACATATTTAAAATTACAGGGTTAAATGCTAATGTAGTACAGTAATATTAGGTGTATTTTTATTAAATTTAACGTGCTGCAGTGGAACGTCCTATTGGGTGTAATAATGATCAAAACTTTTATTGTTTTAAACATAGGGAAAGATCAGTTAGTATTGATTTCAAAGGGGAAGGTGAGCACATTTTAAATATCTCTTGTTCAATTCAATGAAAATTCAAAATGCTAAGAGTGGCTGGTTTCTGATTTTTTAAGTTAATTAATACTAGTATTATTTACACAGTTATTCATTGAACATTATTAATAATAATAAAAATTGTCAGTTTATTTTCTTAATTGGAACAGACACAATAATCTCAAAGAACATAAAAGAGGAACTTTAAATAATGTTTATTTTGTTTTTATCAATATACATTGTCTTTTCTTTAATTGACTAATACATTTTAGAAATAAATGAAAAGGAAATAATTGAAAGACTGGAGACTTTAATTTGATAAAGGCTTACTTGATTTAATCATCTAATTTGTCACATAATATTCATAAGTCTTAACAGGGAAAAAATAGTATACCTATTGCTGGATCTTACCTCTCCTTCCCCCTTCCCTTCTCTTCTTTTCTAAATCCACTATGTTGAATTTTCAAAAGGAATCTTTAATCATGCAAATGGTAAAGATAGACTGAATTCTTATCCAAAGTTTGCAAACCACTATCTATCTGCAATGATCTCGGTTGTCAAGGGACTTTTTAAGTAGCAATGCAATGTGATTTAAGTT